AGAATTCTGACTTTTTTTATTGTCAGAATTCAGTCAGAATTCTGAGATTAAAGTCAGAATTCTGAGATGTTAAACTGATCCCATGTTAAACCGAAATAAAATTTAAAATTCAGTTAACTTTTTTTTTTTCAGTGCCCCTAATCCTCTTCCGTTTCAAATCTATCAACATACCACTACCAATATTTTTCATCGGTGCATCCCTTCTGTTTATACATATGTTCTGAATGTACACCTTCTTTGACTCTTAGCAATAGTTAGGAAATATCAGCGTAGTTAATGTTAAAATGCACAGTGTTGTGATATTTTTACGATTTTTGTCTCACTACTTCGTGCCAGTAAGAACTGGTACTCCTTAAGGTACGTAAAAGAGATTAATCTAGCATGATAGTAGAACTCTTACTATGTATATATTGTACGTATGAGTATTGCAATATTTGAATTTTAGTGCAGATCGGTAGCATACTTCCTGTTTAGGTACGACAATCGATGTTTCTTAAAGTTTTTGTAAGAGTATTTCAATAAAACGACACTTTGTTTATTAAAAGACAATCCTGAGAATCTTAGCGCATACACCCATGTAGATTTACAGTATGAGTCAGTGTTTTCTGGTAAATTGTGTCATTTTACAATAGTCATAGTTCTTCCTACTGTTATAAAGGAAAAGATGTTCAAACAACTTAGGCAGAGATTTGTACTTTACATTGGAGCTTGAAGTATTTTGATTATTAGATCTATAAATTCTAAATATTTAAGAGGATTTTGGTCATTTTATTTTTTAATGTTTATAAATGTTAAAATAACTTGCATAGTTTTACAATAATGAATGTCCTGAAAAGAGTTTTGTGTTATTTTGACATTTTAAAGAGATGTGTTAATGTTTGTGTTATTCCAACTAAAGAGCTGCTTATTGTAAAGGATTGGTGGGGCGCCGAAAGCTTTCTGTGAGGCCGATGCTCCAAAAACATAAAACCAACATTTATTTAATACCCACTGTGCTTCCTGAAGTAGAATAACAAATTTAACTCATTTTTAAGGATGTGATTTATTAGTTGTTGTTTTTTTCTTTATCCTTACCTGAGGCAGAAATTGTCCTATCCCTCTGATCTCC